ACATGACACCCCTGTGGTCAGTTCGACCCAGAGGGGATATAAAATGAACAGTGTAGAAGGTCAAATAACTGCATGGTAGAATGGTCAAAAACTGGGTCAGATGTACAGGGTGGAGAAAAAAAAAGGGGGGGGGAATAGAAAGGAAGAGGGGAGCAGCCAGAAATAGGGAGAAGAAGGGGTTCATGTGTTGCAAACATGCAGGTGCACACAGGAGAAACTGCGAGCACAGAGAGGAAAAGTAGCATCGCAAAGGGGTGAGGTAAACTACAAGTACCTAGCAGAGTACAAAAGAAGTTTTGAAAGGATGGGAGTGCCACACCAACTTGTATAGATACTTTTAAAGACTTTTATTTTGTAGCACCCAACGCTTTCCTGGTGCTCAGCACTCCCTTTTTTCAGGGCTAAAAACTAGACAATAGAGAAAATACAAAGATTCCTTAAAATATGATAACCCCTGCACTATTTCTTGTTCAAACATTTTATTGTTTTAAAGTACAACAACAACATAAGTTATAAGTAAGGAAATGGGATATTAGAGGTGTACAGTAAATGAACAGGTAAGGTTCCCATTTATACTAGTCAGGCAGCACTAACAAGAGTGAACAACAAATATCAAATAGAGCCTAACATGAAGGAAAGGAGGAGGGGGGAGAGGAAGGGAGGGATAGGGTGTACGGCACCAAGGAAGGGGATACTGAAAATAGCCAAATAACTGCAGTATCAACAAAGGATGGTTTCCGTAAAGCAAAAAACATAGATTATGGGTTGAGAAGGGACTCGTCAAAGTTGGGCGGGAGGAAATGCTCCACCCATGGGTTCCAAATCTTTTTAAACTTGGGGATGGAATCCAGGATAGTGGCTTCAATTTTTGCGTGGATCATCGCCTGAGTGACCCTAGTCATGACTGCAGTCGTATTCAGTAAGGGTGATTTCCAGGCTTTAGTGATAACCTGTTTGGCCGCAGTGGTGACTTGCAGAATATGCTTAAAATTTGCCTTTGTGATGTCTGGTGGCCGGTGATTGAGAAGCGCGACTAGAGGACTTGGTTGGAGGGTTGTGGCGCTGAGTGCAGACAGTGTTCTGAATACCTCCGCCCAAAAAGTTCGGACGATTGGGCAATCCCACTAAATATGAAAAAATGTTCCTAGGTCTGCGCAGCCTCTGAAACAAACTGGGGGATAATCAGGGGCAAATTTCGCAATTCTGGTTGGGACAAGATACCAGCGGGTCAGGACTTTGTAATTGGTCTCCAGGGCCACAACATTTTGCGATGACTCCTTGGTATTGTTCCAAATGAGGTCCCAATCTGACGGGTCGATTTGCCGGCCTAAATCAGCTTCCCATTTATCGGTATATGAGGGTAATGGAGAAACGGATGGGGTTGTAAAAAGGGAGTATAGATAGGATATGAGACCTCGTCTATGAGGGTAACCCCTGCACTATTTCAACCATTAATTGCACGGTCATGCAATGCTGTACCCAAACAAAATGTATGTCCTTTTTTCTCACAAATAGAGCTTTTTTGGTGGTATTTGATCACCACTGGGATTTTTATTTTTTGTGATATAAATGAAAAAAATACTTTCTGTTATGAAAAATATCAGACAACTAATATAATACATTCACATTTTACAGTTTTTTGTAGCATTACACTGTTAGAACAATTTGATAGTCCTATATTTCTTTAAAATTACTTCAAAATACTTTCAGAAAAGAAATAATGCATCAGTTTAGTTGCTGTGCATAGGTATGATAGCTTAATCATTTCTGTGAGTGCAGAAATTGCTTCCCTGGCTGTTATGTCAACAACTGTGCATTTCAATGTCACTATCATAAAAAGGGCTGTCAGATTCATCCTTACATACCAGTCCTCCTCCTTGTTTTGGTGTATCTGGAGAAAAAAACAGGCTTGTCTGGTTGAAAGTGAAAAAATGCTCCTAGAAAATAGCTTCATCCAGCACTGTGAGTACTACGCAGAAATGGATACATGTTATCAAGGTTACTGGATAAAATGAAAATTCTACCGTATTTTCCGGCGTATAAGACGACTGGGCGTATAAGACGACCCCCCCCTACTTTTCCTGTTAAAAATATAGGGTTTGGGCTATACTCGCCGTATAAGACTACCCCCCTCTTCCAACCAATCACGGCAAGCAATGTACCAGTATTTTCTGTGCACACTGTGCACACTGCATACAAAGCCTGCTTGGATTGGGTGGGTCAGCTCTCCCTGCCTGCCCAGCCCTGCCTGTCTCCAAGATACCATAAATTGCACAGAACTGCCACAGACATTATAATATTAATAATTAATTACCGTATCTCATAGAAGTTAAGGGGACAAGGTCGGATGCAGCAGTACCATACCGGTACTTCCGAGCTGACGCTTCTGCACGTCTTCGGCAGCAGTAGACGATCACTGATCGCCATTCCTCGCAGAACTGCATGAGACGTCGGATGCAGCCGTTCAGTGCTCGATTGATCGTGACTGAAACTGTGACATGCGCAGAATCACTGTGTATCCCTTCTCTGCATATCACAGTTTCAGTCAAGCTCAATCGAGCACTGCTGCATCCGACGTCTCATGCAGTTCTGCGAGCTATGGTGATCCGCGATCGTCTACTGCTGCCGAAGACATGCGCAGTAGCGTCAACCCGGAAGTACGGTAAGGTTTCAGCACAGCACCCGGCGTATAAGACGACCCCCGACTTTGTAGACGATTTCCAGGGGTTAAAATGTCGTCTTATACGCCGGAAAATACGGTAAATATTATTTTCCATTGTATATTTCTGATATTTACACTCTGTAAAGTATTCTGAACGACTAGTAAAAAATAAGAATATTGTAAAATCCTGGGTCAGCGGGCTTAGAATGGCTAATAATGGCAATGACAATAAGGACAATTTGCTTTGCTGGGATAGGTAAAGCATAAAAGTATGGCTGATAAAGCACATATGGACAGATTAGTGTAAAGCCAGCCATGGATGGATTGAACTTCAGCCAGTTCAGCAGGGACTGGCTGAATTTCAATCCATCTATGGCCATTCCCGTTTGTAAGATGATGGACTTCTCATGAACGGGCTTGTGTGTTCTACGCCCCTTTACATGCACTGCCTATAGTCAGGGCTGCTGATAGAAACCACAGGGCCCCATACAGCCAACCTGACAGGGCCCCCCAAATAAACAGTTTGCTATGCTTCAGTTATGAAGGAACACAGTAAGTGATCAGTAAAATAAATAAAACAGCGCAGCGCTAAATGGTAACAAGTGACCATAAAAAACTACTAATAAAGTTCAGTGAAGATAACAGTCCGTGATACTATAAAGTGCCAGGTGACTGGTAAAAACGCGATGGTGGTGCTCCGTGAGAAATGGCAGAAATACGCACTCACCAGATGCGTATTGTTTATATGCATTAAGTATCGCATCCAGGGGTGTCCACATCAGATATAGGTCTGGTCAGGGTTTAAGGTAGTTCTCCCTCAGGGATGGTAAACAGCAGATGCCCAGGTAACAAATTAATCAGATCCAGGTAGCCAGAGGTCCCTTTAAGGGATGAGCAGAAGAGGCTGCCTGCTAAACGGGCTCTGAAAATAAATACTCCTCAGGGGAGTCAGGGAAGGATGCCCATAGTGTAGTATTCAAAATAAGTATTTACTAGGTAAAAAGATGTTTGCAAACAGGTTGCACTAAGGGCTGTGAAGCCACAAGCTGTCAGGTGCCCACACTAAAGATGCCGGAGCCAGGGAGAGAAGAAGGTGAGGACACCACTGGACTGAGGAACAGGTAGGACCGCTGGAGGTCTGCAGGTTCTACTGCACAGAAGAGCCAAGCGGCTGGCCCAGTATTCTAACACGGCAGCGGCAGCGGCAATGGGGGGAGTACCGGGCCGGCCGATCCATATTCACTCCATAAGACGCACAGACCCCATTTTTGGGGGGAAAAAAACTGTGTCTTATGGAGCGAAAAATGCGGTAACTATTTATAAAGCATTCACAAATGAGTAAGTTATTCAGTAGCTGCCTAAACACACTAAATGCAATACACAATGAACTGTATAAATAGATAGAAATATTCACACAAAACTCTTCATTTCTGTCTGGTAAGGGAGAAACATCTGCATCAGGAAATATTCCAAGCTTTGTTTTCTGTGCCTCCATGCGATCATTACAAAAAAACAGTAAGCTGGATAGAAGACCTTTTGCTTTGGCATCCACATCAATCCTCTTTAGATATGCAGAGTCATAGCAAGATCATTCCATTGATTTACACATCTGTGGGAGCAGAAAAAGACAATCTTCCCATTAATTCAGGAGATATTATTGTCCAAATGAATTTCACTTACAGCCTTACCATGGATGCCCACCATGTCTGCTTACACAGGGCAGGAACAGCCTTACAAGGAAAAAAAAATTAAATTAAAATGTAATAAATGAAAAAGATTTAAAAAAGAAGACTGACCTACGTGGCCTACATCACAAGACGCATTTACACACAATACATTTTGTCATTTTATATATCATTTTTTTTCTTTTTGTACAATATTTGTGAACCCCAGAGGTATATTTAAAGTCCCACTTCAAATTATCCTTTTTTATTGATGTAAAAAAAAGACTGGAATATATACTGTAGCAGTCTGCATGATAAATTACCATCCAGTCTGCCAAAAAATCTCACTAGTTGTGCTCAGATCAAGTCCTGTTACCTGAGCACTAGGTTCATTTCCAAGCCTCAGTCCATGTTATTGCATGCATTCCAATTTCAACTTGTATCTGACTAAGCTTGTTTGCCACCTACCCCGACTTTTTGCGTGTTTCTATTTCTAATATTGCCTGCCAACTGTGTATCATGTTCTGGCTCTATTCCTGTTCAGTATCCATCTGCACAGATGTGTCTGAAGGCCAGTAAAGACCATTACTCCTTTAGTGTAAAGGTCGGGTGTGTGCTTAGACTCTGCACCTTTTTACTTTTAAAGGTCCCACCCAGGGGCGGACTGACAACTCATGGGGCCCCTGGGCAATAGGAGATCATGGGGCCCCTGTGTTCTTGCCCAAACTCAAAAAAGCCTATGAAAAAGGTACCAGGGGTATCTCATGGGGCCCCCTACTGACCCCGGGCCCTCGGGCAGTGCCCCAGTTTCCAAATGGTCCGTCAGCCCCTAATCCCACCTGTAGCTGGCCAGCTAAGACCAGTCCTAGGTTGTTAATATGGTTCACATATATGTGTATACCAAACCTGCCAATAACCTCAGTACAGTATATATGTGCATATGTTAAAGCCAAAAGCAGATCATTGCTGTGATTTATGTCTTTGATTGTTATATGACATTTATATATTCATTGTGTTAGCAGAAGCAGAAAAGGAAAATATGCCTTTAAGAGTTAGTTAAAGGTGAGCCAATCACAGACAGCCTCACACTGTACAGAGCCTTAACCAATCCCAGCCAGTTTCACATTTTGCCTGTGTAAAACTCCCTGCTAGGATTTTCTAGAGACACATGCTCACCAGACAGAGAGGAAACAGACAAAGTTCCAATCAGAGAAGCTTTATGGAAGTAGAGAAGGCCAAATAGGTATTTAATGCACTTGTGTGTTCCTCTATTGTTTAGTAATGCAGGTAGATCTGTGTGTGTAAAATCTGTTGTATGTGTTTACTTGTAGTTCCACCGAACTTACGAATTTACGAATCAAGTCACTGTAGAGTAATCATAATTGAATTTATAAATCCAAGTGAATTTATCAATCTATCGAAATATACAGAACGAATTTATCAAATCTATTGAACCTATCGAGATAAGCTATCGAATCAACCCAATGTAATACGAATTAAACCATTGTAATATGAAAGAAATAAGCCATTGTAAGCAGTTATATGAAGAAGATTGAAGTTATTAAAGAAGTTATCTAAAGTATTCAGTGTGCTCTTTAAACCTACTGCATCCATAGAGCGGCATTGGAGGAATTACAGAGTAAAGTCAGTCTAATCAAACAAAGAAACAGCAATTGCATAATTTTTCTAATGCCACAGCGCACAAGGCACCAAAGACTGCTGCGCCTGCCACACCACCCTCTCCAATGTGCAGAAACCACAATCTGGTTCTATCTGTATTTCCAAAGCAGGCTTTTTACCCCTTTAGTAACATTTCTCTTGCTCTACTCTCACCTACAAGGTGGTATTCTTGTAGCCATTACATCTGCCAGTCCACTGAAATTTTGTTTTGTTGCAAAGCAAAAACAAATTTAAAAAATCAAACTTCGTCATAAATTTAGGCCAAAATGTATTCTGCTACATGTCTTTGCTAAAAAATAATCCCAATACAAGTAAATTAACCACTTGCCTACCAGGCACTTATACCCCCTTATTTACCAGGCCAATTTTCAGCTTTCAGCGCTGCCGCACTTTGACGGACAATTGCGCGGTCATGCAACATTGTACCCATATGAAATTTTGATCATTTTTTTCTCACAAATAGAGCTTTCTTTTGGTGGTATTTAATCGCCACTGAGCGCTTTACTTTTTGCGCTATAAATAAAAAATTGCCAAAAATTTGAAAAAAAAAAAAAAGTTTCTTTGTTTCTATTATAAAATTTTTCAAACAGGTAATTTTTCTCCTTCACTGATGTGCGTTGATGAGGCAGCACTGATGGGCACTGATAGGCGGCACTGATGGGCACTGATAGCGGCACTAAAGGGCACTGATAGGCAGTACTAATGAGGTGGCACGGATAGCCGACACTGATAGACAGCACTAATGAGGTGTCACGGATAGGCGGCACTAATATGCAGCACTGATAGGCGGCACTGATAAGTGACATTAATGATGGGAACTGATAGACGGCACTGACTGGCATCACTGCTGGGCACTGACTGGCGGCACTGACTGGCACAACCGCTGGGCACTGACTGGTGGCACTGACTGGCAGCACTGCTGGGCTGCACTGGTGGGGGCACTGGTGGGCAGCACTGGTGGGTGGGCACAGGTGGGTGGCACTGGTGGGCACAGGTGGGTGGGCACAGGTGGGTGGCACTGCTGGGCACAGGTAGGTGGCACTACTGGGCACAGGTGTGTGAAATTGCAGAGTGGCACAGGTGGGTGCACTGCTGGGCACAGGTGGGCGGAGCTAGTGGGCGCACTGCAGGGCACAGGTGGGAGGAACTTGCGGGTGGCACTGCTGGGCACCTATCATCAGGGCACTGATCATCAGTGCCCTGATGATCGGGTGCCGATCCCCGCTCTGACAACTGCCGGTTCTCGACAGTACTTTCCTCACGATCTGACAGCGTGAGGAAAGTGCAGCCGAGAACCGGCACTTGCATTTCCCTCTGATCAGCGTGTCATTGGACACCGCTGATCAGGTGGTAAAAGGCCGCTGTGATTGGCCTTTTACCACATCACGTGATCAGCTGTGTCCGTAGGACACAGCGATCACGGAGATCGCCAGGTGCGCGCCCCCTGGGGCGCGCAGGAGAGCGCGTTCTGGGGGGACGTCATATGACGTCCACTCAGAACTGGCCGGCCGCAGTGCAGCCGTCATTCGGCTATCTGCGGTCGGCAACAAGTTAATTGGTTTATGTGAAAACCGTAGCATCTACAAATGGTGGTATATATACTGGAATTTTTTGTTTTTTATATATGCTAGTAATGGTGGCAATCAGCGACTTAAAGCGGGACTGTGGTGGGCATTCTGACACTGAGTGAGGGGGAACTGACTAGCTGCCACTGACATCCCCAGTGACACTAATATAGTGATCAGTGCTACCCCTAACTTATCCATTGCTAACTATGCTCAATATGGAGACTCTCAAATATACTGTAAGAATTAGAACTGTACTTTACAGGGGGCCTTGACATTGGCCTGTTTTTAATGCAAATTGTTAGAGTAATTTTGTCTTTTGCAGGCTAGCTGGCACATGGGCTGGGAAAACTTTTATTTGTGTTTAGCTTTACTTTATTTTAGGGATAAAGTTTTCATGTAGCTTTTAGATCTGTTGTGACTCTTTCAATGTAGGCCTGTCTCCATGGCTTAAAAAAATCAGGGTAATCAGCCAGTATTTTCTTTCTTTCTTTCTTTCAGTATTTCAAGTTGTAATAAATCAGATTCAGTGCTGTTTCTTAAATTAAGCCAAGCAATAATATAAAAGTAAAAATGGTCAATGACACATGCAAAATATGTGATGCGAGAACAGGGGCAGACTGACAACTCATGGGGCCCCCGGGCAATAGGGATCATGGGGCCCCTGTGTCCTTGCCCAAACTCAAAAAAGCCTATGAAAAAGGTACCAGGGGCATCTCGCGGGGCCCCCTACTGACCCCGGGCCCTCGGGCAGTGCCCGAGTTTCCAAATGGTCAGTCCGCCCCTGTGCGAGAATACAGTGTCGCTGATGTTATCTGTGAGAACTATACTATCCTGCAGCACCACATACAGCTTAAAGCCATCTCCCAAGCACGTATATGAAAAGATTTGGTGTTTTTCCCATGTCATACCTGAAGTTGCTGTAAAAGGTAGACCCTCTCCTCACTGTACTGTATTCACATAAAAAAAAATAGTTTTTTTTTTGCATTGGTACATTTCCCTCATGGCAGTCAAAAGAAAAGAAGAACAGCGCCCTCTAAGTGCAGCAATAAAACTCTTTATCAAAACTTAAAAGTGTAATGCAGGCCAGTCACAAAGGCATGGTAGAGAAGCACTTGTAATATCACATAATAGGCATCTTCTGCATTGTTCCACTTTTAAGTTTTATTAGAGAGCTTTATTACTGCACTTGGCGCCGCTCTTCTTTTCTTTTGATTTCTCTACAGGCTCTCTTTAGCTTTTCATTGGCTGGCTGCCTTCTAGTTAAGCTACCAACAAGGACTAATATAAGGACTACCTATACATATTTTTTAAGGACATTGTGTTTTACACATATATTCCTATTACATCACTGCTATATGCTTCCAGTCCTAGTATATTCCGCACATACCATTTTTAACCCTGAGTGCGCCAAATACCCGTTCCACTTATTCCCTCATGGCAGTGCCCAGCACTCTGTTCCATTTATTTGCTACCCCCTGCCTATTACCCTTAAGAATGGCCAGAATTGATTTTCAAGATTCACCCCCTGCAGAAATGAACAGGGTCAGATTTAAGTTTGCAATTCTTGGACTTTACAGTGTGTTCAAAAATGCCCTGTGGACCAAGTCCTGACACATTTGCTCAGTCCTAATTATCAGCCAGGTGGTCTGAGTATCAGTATCAAACTGGAGAGTGCAAAATCTGGTGCAGCTGTGCATGGTAGCCAATCAACTTCTAACTTCAGCTTGTTCAATTAAACTTTGACAAAACCCTGGAAGCTGATTGGTTTCTATGCAGAGCTGCACCAGATTTTGCACTCTCCAGTTTTAGTAAATCAACCCCATGGTTTTCCAGTGACCATGCGTAAAGGTAATGTGCCCCTAAACAATCAGGGTTTAATTATTGTCATATACAATAAAAAGTGCAGTGCTAAATATTAAATATCATCATTAAGTATAAAGTGAACAGTTGTGAACACCTAATTACAAACTATGTGCACAGCATAAGTGTAATACATAAATGTCCATCCAGTATTAAAATGGAACATACAGTGGGCATACCCCTGAGGACGTGCATGCACACGAAACACGTTGGGTGGAGCCTTACGTGCTGACATCACGCCACCGCGGCCTGAGCTCGGAGCGGCGGACATCTTGGTACATGTTTTAATACATGCTTTTATGTTTATCCACGTGGATTGTTTTATATGTTTGTTTTAATAAAATACTACACTATATACCAAATGTGGGGCTCCTGTGGTGAGCTATTCTCCTTAGGAGGAATCCCTCTTTTGGTTTGCAATCCTATTAGTGTTTGGTGGAGAAGTCCGGTCTGCACTATATGGGTCTATGAGATCTTCATCGATGTGATCAACATTAATGCTACTTACCAGTAGCTTTCTGGTGAGTGCACATCCATTGGAGGTGGTGGATTCCTTCACTTGATTAAGAGCACTGTTTTTGAGCATTGAGTATTGCTGTGCCTTGTAGTACCACCGACACTCTGTATGCTCCATTTTAATACTGGAAGGACATTTATGTATTACACTTATGCTGTTTCACATGGTTTGTAATTAGGTGTTCACAACTGTTCACTTTATTTATTTCAGGTACTTATATAGCGCCGTCAATTTACACAGCGCTTTACATATATATATTGTACATTCACATCAGTCCCTAACCCTGAAGGGGTGTACAATCTAAGGTCCCTAACTCACATTTATACATACACATACTAGGGCCAATTTAGACAGGATCCAATTCACCTACCAGCACGTCTTTGGAGTATGGTAGGAAACCGGAGTACCCGGAGGAAACCCATGCAGGCACAGGGAGAACATGCAAACTCCAGGCAGGTGGTGCCGTGGTTGGGATTCGAACCAATGACCCTAGTACTGCCAGGCGGAAGTGCTAACCATTTAGCCACTGTGCTGCCCACTTTATACTTAATGATATTTAATATTTAGCGCTGCACTTTACTATATATGTTTTGAGGGTTTTGTTGCCTTTGCTGTTTGTGCTAGCGGCTTTTAATTTATTTTTAATTTGCCATATACTTTGGATTTGTTTTTAATTATTGTCATCTGCATTTTTCCCCATTTAAAATTTCCTGAAACTTTTGAGCACAAGAGAAAAATACCTATACCCATGGGTGGGAACTCTCAAAAAATTACCTGGAGATTCTGTTTAAACCCTAACATTTAGATTGCTAAAACACTCTGCATAGCAACTGCCATGTTTTATTTCTTCAGAAATGACTGTTTTACCCTATTTTTCCTCCATTTTTGCATCTCAGTGCTGCTGATCTCCTCCACTGCCTCTTTCAGCCAAGACCTGTCTACATGCACTAGCTCCAGTGGTGGCGGCACGTCATTGCTTAGGGCAACTATCCTGAGAGTGACGACAACAGAGCATACTGGTGCAATGAGGACAGGGCCACTTCCAGTATCTACTGGAAATACATCCCTCTTCGCAAAAAAACACCCTGTCACACCCCAACACACATGATCTTAGTGTAACGAAAGTGATGGGCAATCTCTCCAACTGAGGGAGACAGGAATGCAAAGATAATCTTCACAACATGAGTACAAACAATTAACAGGCGACTAAGATTCTAAGCTTTCCATCCAACACCAATAAATGTTTTGGCTTGTTTATGGGCTTGAATTAGTTCAGCTCTTGCACTTTCATACCCAATATGGGGGCCTGTGTTAATGGGCTTTTGTTTGTTTTTGGCAACAGGGGCTATTCAGCAATCATTTTGTTAATAAATAAAAGTCACCTTTTAATCTGCAGATGAATAAAACAGCATACATGCCATGCAACAATGATGTTTATATACTTTATTTCTAAATGAAGTTTCTAGACAGTGTTCCAAACACTGACCAGAAGCTCTGTATTACTGTCGCTATTGTGACAAGTCTTGACTTGCTCTTGCCCTGGCTTGCATGTTAACCAACTTTCCACCACCCCATAGCAGATGTACTGCTACAGGGCAGCTTCACTGGGAAAAATCACGTAAATATATGTGATTTTGCATTCCTGGGTAGGGGGCACACGTGTGTCGCCCTGCCTGCGATGCATTTGGCTCCTGAGGATGTCAATCACTGGGTCCCAATCGGCGATTTTCGTCCGGAACTTGGTGATCGTAAGCAAAGCTGAGAGGGGAGAGATCTGTGTGTAAACAACACAGATCTCTCTCCTGTCAGCATGGACATGCTGCTTTGTATCTCTGCACAGCAGGGAAATACAAAGCAGCATGGCTGCTTAGTAAAATAGCACACAATAAAATCACTCCCTAACACACAGTTAACCCTTTGACTGCCCCAGATGTTAACCCCTTCCTGCCCAGTGTCATTAGTACAGTGTCAGCACTTTTTATTAGCACTGATCACTGTATTGGTGTCACTGGGGATGTCAATGGCAGTTAGTTCCCACCCAGTGTCAGAATGCCCGTTGCAGTCCCACAGTCCTGATATAAGTCATATAAAAAATAGCCAGGTCAGGAAGGGGGGTAAATCTTCCAGAGGACAAGTGGTTAACGACTTGGCAACCTAGCTATAGCTGAATGACGGATAGCACGGTTTTCCAGTTATGGAAGAGCGTCATATGACGTCCTCCCAGAACGCGCGCTCCCCCTACTGATCACGTGATGTGGTAAAAGGCCAATCACAGTGGCCTTTTACCACGTCATCAGCTGTGTCCAATGATACAGCACATAACTGGGTAAATGCAGTTGCCGGATATCAACTGCACTTTCCTCACACCTACACAGCGTGAGGAAAGTACTACCAATAACCATAAATTGTCAGAAAACAGATCAGCACTGATCATCAGGGCACTGATAATCAGTGCCTAATAGTGCCACCCACCTGTACCCAGCAGTGCCACCCACTTGTGCCAATCAGTGCCTGCCTATCAGTGCCAATCAGTGCTGCCTATCAGTGCAGCCTCATCAATGCACATCAGTGAAGGAGAAAAATTACTTGTTTGCTAAATTTTATAATAGAAACAAAGAAAAACTTATTTTTTTCAGATTTTTTGCTATTTTGTTTGCTTATAGCTTAAAAATAAAACACCCAGCAGAGATTAAATACCACCAAAAGAATGCTCTATTTGTGTGAGAAAAAATGGTAACAATTTTATATGGGTACAGTGCTGCATGACTGCGCAATTGTCATTCAAAATGCGACAGCACTGAAAGCTGAAAATTGGCCTGGGCAGGAAGGGGGTATAAGTGCATGATAGGCAAGTAGTTAACAAACATGATTTTCCAAAATTCTGACAACAAAGAGCAGCAGTGGGATTGGCAGCAGGGGTAGAGGGACAGCCTTATAGGGAGAAGTTACATTTTACTTGTTTGTATCCATACTGATGTAATGCACCATGTGTAGATAGAGATATAATATTTGTAGTCCAATGGGAGTGCCAGTTATTAATATGCTGGCATAAAGCTATTTTTTTGCCAGGTGTGTTATCTGCAAACGCAGCCACGTCTTCACATAAAATCATAGGTATTAATGAATGTTCAGTCAAAATGATCACCATGCCAGTTGACAACAATATTTTTCTACTTTTAGAACTAGTCATTTTAAACAGAATTTAGGAACTGTGCTCATAACCACTCATTTGCTCCAATTACACTGGATGTTTGACCTGTCTGTGTTTCCTTTTAGCACATTTTAAGGTAACTGAGAGAAGATGCAGCACCGCTTCATAAAATTCTGTATTCCACTCTTGTCTATACATTCCTTCTGTTATTCAGAGTACATAGTATATTTCACTGTATGCATAGAGGATAGGAAT